TCGTTAGTGTGAGAGTAAAAGTGTTTGTTTATTAAATGTGTCGTTAGTGTGAGAGTAAAAGTGTTTGTTTATTAAATGTGTCGTTAGTGTGAGAGTAAAAGTGTTTGTTTATTAAATGTGTCGTTAGTGTGAGAGTAAAAGTGTTTGTTTATTAAATGTGTCGTTAGTGTGAGAGTAAAAGTGTTTGTTTATTAAATGTGTCGTTAGTGTGAGAGTAAAAGTGTTTGTTTATTAAACGTGTCGTTAGTGTGAGAGTAAAAGTGTTTGTTTATTAAATGTGTCGTTAGTGTGAGAGTAAAAGTGTTTGTTTATTAAATGTGTCGTTAGTGTGAGAGTAAAAGTGTTCCGCACGGCTTCGTTCACACTCGTTTAAATCCTGTGTTTACGTTAGCTTAGCGCCCCGGTCCTTTGTTTGTGTTAGCTTAGCGCCGCGTAACCGAATCTCCGACCACAACAAAGAGACGCCGCCGTTTTAAAATAGAGCGGAGCGGCGTCAAAGAGCAGACGCCCGTTTGGTCTGGGACACAGGACACACGGGGGGAGGGGCCTGAAGAACAATGTCCCAGAACCACACACTGTTTAGAGAAACTGACAGAGCTAAACAGGAAGTGAGCATGGACACACTTCAGGCTCCAGTTCACTTTCTATTGAAGAAGTGCGGCTCTTCTCTCTAAAACTGCAGCTGTCAGACTTTCATTTTGGTCTTTTTGGTCGTCAGATGTTTTCAAAGTCGCTGATACAAAAACAAACCTCGATACATTGATGTGATTATTCAATACGGTTCAATAAAATAAAGTTTAAATCGTGTGTGACACTAAAAGTTTGTTAAACTTCTTCTTGTGTAAAGTTCAAATGAAACACAAACATTTAAATCTGTGAAAATGTCAAATGTTTCACATAAACGAGTTTCTTCTTCTGAACAAACAAAACTGGAGCTGGAACTAAATAAACCAAATAGTCAAATAAACCAAAAAATCCTCTCGGTGATTTATCGATACATCAGCCCACGATATCGATACTGTATCATCACGTTAAACCATACGATATATCCATATTTACATTTTGTTGCACAGCCCCAGTTTTAACTCTTCCAGGTCGACGGTGTCGTACACGACGTCTGTAAATATGTTTTATAAAACTGCACTGAACTTTCCAACAGAAAAGATAGAAACTTACTGTTCTTCCACCGGCCAATCAGCTGTGAGCGGTGAGGTCATGATGAGGTCATGATGAGGTCATGACGTGGTCGTTGTGGCGTGTGTCTGTGTCCGGTTTGTGTTTCAGCACAACAATAAAAAAAGCGTTGAGATGTAGATGAAGACAGACGTTCTGTGTTGGCGACGATTCCCCAGATTTAAACCTGAACAAAGAGAATGTTTGATGAATTTGATCTCGGGGAAAGTCGTTCTTGTTCTTCTTCCTGTGGGATTTGGAGCTTTACAAACGTCACAAACAAACAGCAGCGATTGGTTCAATAAAAAAAAGTCCCGCCTCCCGTCGAGTGAACCAATCCTAAAGCTGCAGGTCACACGGTTTACACCAAGTGAAACGAAGTGAGACCGGCTCAGGAATCAGATGAGGGACTTGAGTCTTTCTGAGCAGATTTTCCTCTGTTCTGAGCGTCTGTGTCAGAACAGGAGAAAAAGTCACTCGAAGTGACTCTAAAAACTCTAAGTGCACAGATTTATCACATAAATCATAAATGACACGTCTTGGTCTGTGGAATTGTGCGTCTGTTGTTATTTTTATTTTCAGGTTTATTTTTAGTCCAAATGTTCAAATCTAAACGTAATAAACTCATGGAAACACAGAAGTGATGAGTCTGTGACCTGGACCTGACTCCAGCTGTTTCCACGACCTGCACCAGTCAAGTCATGGGGACATGGCACTTTTTTTTTGTTTTGAGGCAATAAATATTTTTTTTGTTTATTTACAGACTTGATATTTTGCATTTTTGTAGCCAAGACCCTAAATTAATAATTGTTATGTCCAAAAAGTTGTTTCTACATGTTTGTGTGAAAGAGTGAATTTTATTTTGTGTTTTTTTTATTTAGTTTTTTTCATTAGCAGTAGTAGTTTTTATTTCATTAATATGACACGACTCCAGCAGCAGATTGTGAAATAACAGACTGGAGTGAAAAAAAGGATGAATAACACTTGATTAGGGGTAAAACGGGGCAGTTTTTGTGTAATTAAGGAAAAAAATCCAGGTGAGGACAAATGTTCTAAAACTAAACTCAGGTTTGTTCTACACGATCCTGGTTTTTTATTTCACCGTTTTGTCCCTAAATCAAAATCTGTACATAATAACTGACCAATCAGACGCCGCGGTTTGAGCAGGTCGCACCACTGTCGCTGCCAGAAGGTTTGATTGACACATGATCAGAAATCCAGATTCACTCCTGTAACCGCTGCCCTCGATGAGCTTCACTATTTTATACAGTCTGTTGGAGAGACGGAGGAGGAGAGAGGGGGAGGAGGGGAGGAGGAGAGAGAGAGAGAAGAGGGAGAGGAGGGGAGGTTGAGGGGAGGGTGAGGGGGCTTCAGAACAGCTGCTGCGGAGGCTGAGGGCCAAAGATTCCACCAAGTGAGAGACACAAAACAGAGCAACAACTGGAGCTTAAGACCAAAGAGAAGATTTAGAGACGGACAAGAGGAAAGCATGAGAAATATGGAGAGAGGGAAGAGGAGGAGAGAGAGAGAGACAGAGAGGGGGAGAGGAGGAAAGAGAAAGGAAAGAGGTAGAGGAGAGAGAGACAGACTGAGGAGTGGACGGGTGAAGCAGGAGAGAGAGGGAGGAAAAGAGGAGAGGAGAGAGAGAGGAGGAAAAGAGGAGAGGAGAGAGGGAGGAGGAAAAGAGGAGAGGAGAGAGAGAGAGGGAGGAAAAGAGGAGAGGAGAGAGAGAGGGAGGAAAAGAGGAGAGGAGAGAGAGAGGGAGGAAAGAGAGGAGAGAGAGAGGGAGGAAAAGAGGAGAGGAGAGAGAGAGGGAGGAAAAGAGGAGAGGAGAGAGGGAGGGAGGAGAGAGAGGAGAGGAAAAGAGGAGAGAGAGAGAGGAGAGAGGAGAGAGAGGAAAAGAGGAGAGGAGAGAGAGAGGGAGGAAAAGAGGAGAGGTGATGGAGAGGTGGATTAGGAGCTAAAGCCCGAGTCTTAACGAGGTTAAATATGTATTAAAGCCAAACGAAAGATCTGATACAAACAAAACACAAACTTACTCCAACAACAACACGACTTAAACTGGACCAAACCTGGACCAAACCTGGACTAAACCTGGACTAAACCTGGACCAAACCTGGACTAAACCTGGACTAAACCTGGACTAAACCTGGACTAAACCTGGACTAAACCTGGACTAAACCTGGACTAAACCTGGAGCAAATACGGACCCAACCGGGACCAGACCCGGCCTCAGATGCAGCCTTGGTCCTGGTCTGTGGCCTCGGTCTTGGTCCTGGTCCTGGTCTCGGTCTTGGTCCTGGTCCTCGGTCTTGGTCTCGTCTGTCGTCAGTCTTCGTTGACTCGGTTCAGTCTCTTGTTTAAACTTTTGTAATCTCCTTTAATCCGGTTTAATCTCCTCACTCTGACCTCTGACCTCTGACCTCTGACATCTCTGAAGTTTCACCAAACTTCACCAAAACATCCAAAGCTCAGGACTCGTTCTCCACACATCTGCACACATCTGCAAACATCTGCACACATCTGCACACATCTGCACACATCTGCACACATCTGCAAACATCTGCACACATCTGCAAACATCTGCACACATCTGCACACATCTGCAAACATCTGCAAACATCTCCACACGTCTCCACATTCACCAGACACAACAACAACAGACTCCTCCAACAACCACGGGAGGGACCTGACACACACAGGGAGGGACCTGACACACACAGGGAGGGACCTGACACACACAGGGAGGGACCTGACACACACAGGGAGGGACCTGACACACACAGGAGGGACCTGACACACACGGGAGGGACCTGACACACACGGGAGGGACCTGACACACAGGGAGGGAACCCGACACACACATGAGGGACTGACACATGGAGGGACCTGACACACACAGGGAGGGACCTGACACACACGGGAGGGACCTGACACACACGGGAGGGACCTGACACACAGGGAGGAACCCGACACACACATGGAGGGACCTGACACATGGAGGGACCTGACACACACGGGAGGGACCTGACACACAAGGAGGGACCTGACACACACAGGGAGGGACCTGACACACACAGGGAGGACCTGACACACACAGGAGGGACTGACACACACAGGGAGGGACCTGACACACACGGGAGGGACTGACACACACGGGAGGGACCTGACACACACAGGGAGGGACCTGACACACACGGGAGGGACCTGACACATGGAGGGACCTGACACACACAGGGAGGGACCTGACACACACAGGGAGGGACCTGACACACACAGGGAGGGACCTGACACACACAGGGAGGGACCTGACACACACGGGAGGGACCTGACACACAGGGAGGAACCTGACACACAGGGAGGAACCCGACACACACATGGAGGGACCTGACACATGGAGGGACCTGACACACACGAGGAGGGACCCGACACACACATGGAGGGACCTGACACACACGGGAGGGACCCGACACACACATGGAGGGACCTGACACACACATTCAGGGACCTGACACACACATTCAGGGACCTGACACACACATTCAGGGACCTGACACACACGGAAGGGACCTGACACACACATTCAGGGACCTGACACACACATGGAGGGACCTGACACACATGGAGGGACCTGACACACATGGAGGGACCTGACACACACATGGAGGGACCTGACACACACATGGAGGGACCTAACACACACATGGAGGGACCTGACACACACATTCAGGACCTGACACACACATTCAGGGACCTGACACACACATGGAGGGACTTGACACACACATGGAGGGACCTGACACATTATTTGTGTTTTTGTTTTGCAGCAATTTAAGAAAAACCTGAAGGGAGTGAACGGAAACAAAGACTTCGACCAGGACATGTTAGAAGATATTTACAACGCCATCAAGTGAGTCCAGACCTGGTCCAGACCTGGTCCAGACCTGGTCCAGACCTGGTCCAGACCTGGTTCAGACCTGGTCCAGACCTGGTCCAGACCGTGTTCAGACCTGGTCCAGACCTGGTCCAGACCGTGTTCCTCTGGTTTCTCCTGTAGGACGGAGGAGATCGTGATGCCGGATGAACAGACTGGTTTGGTGAAGGAGAATTACGTGTGGAGCGTGTTACTCCACCGGGGGGCGTCGTCCGAGGGCCTGTTCCTGCGAGTTCCTCCCGGTTCCTATGACAACGACCTTTTCTCCATGACCTGGGGCCCGTCCATCGCCGCGCTCTCCTACGTCTACGACAAGAGCCTGGACGAGAGCATCCTGCAGAAGGCCATCACCGGCTTCAGGTTCGCTCCTGGTCCAGTCCAGGTTTAGTTCTGGTTTAGCCCTGGTCCAGTCCAGGTTTAGTTCTGGTTTAGCCCTGGTCCAGTCCAGGTTTAGTTCTGGTTTAGCCCTGGTCCAGTCCAGGTTTAGTTCTGGTTTAGCCCTGGTCCAGTCCAGGTTTAGTTCTGGTTTAGCCCTGGTCCAGTCCAGGTTTAGTTCTGGTTTAGCCCTGGTCCAGTCCAGGTTTAGTTCTGGTTTAGCCCTGGTCCAGTCCAGGTTTAGTTCTGGTTTAGCCCTGGTCCAGTCCAGGTTTAGTTCTGGTTTAGGCCTGGTCCAGTCCAGGTTTAGTTCTGGTTTAGGCCTGGTCCAGTCCAGGTTTAGTTCTGGTTTAGGCCTGGTCCAGTCCAGGTTTGTCACGTACACGTTGGTCTCCTGAAACAGACCGTTGGGACAGAAAAGTGATTCCTCGGGTTTTATGGTTCAGTCTGTGTTCTTCTCTCAGGTTCTTCAGTATTTGGACCAAACGGTCCATTTGAACCAAAAGTTCTAAGTTCGGTTCGTTTTCGTCGGTGTGAAAGTGTCAATCGAACTCAGACCTGAACCAAATCAAACGGACCGAGACCTCAGAACAGAGTTGGTCTCGGTTCGATTGAATCCACCAAATGCCAAACTCTGGGTCGGTTCTTCTGGTGTGAAGATGAACTCAGGTCCAAACCACAGACAGCAGGTCCAGACCAACTGTTCCATGTGCATCATGGGAGAAACACGTCTCCTCTGAAACATCTCGCTGGACGACTCCAGAACAAAAACAGTTTATTGTTCAGACGCAGACGAGACTCATTTTCAAATTATTTTACCAACAATGACCAAAACAGAGAATGAAACACACGAAGATCAGAACAAGAACCAACGTGTGAACGTGAAGCTCCAGAGAGAGTCTCAACTGGGGGTGTACTTCTGGTCAGGACCTGCAGCTCAGAGACGACCTGGTGTTCCTGTGTGTACTTCTGGTCAGGACCTGGTGTTCCTCAAGTTCACAGAGCAACAGCTTTTGACATTTGAGGCTTTAATTCACCAGATCATTTTATGGCAATAGAAAAGAGTCTGTTCCACTGATTCAACTATAAAAATCTCGATTGAGAAACATAGTTGGACTAGATCCATACCAGAGTCCAGACCCAGAGTCCAGACCCAGAGTCCAGACCCAGAGTCCAGACCCAGAGTCCAGACCCAGAGTCCAGACCCAGAGTCCAGACCCAGCGGGAGCAGCTCTGGTTCTGTCCGGCTCAGAGGAGCTGGAACTGGAGTGATGTTTGGAGCTTCGGCCTCAGAAGAACTTTCCCCGAGAAGAACCAAGAACATGAAGGACGGACGCTCAGAACATCATAAAACCAACAAACTGGACTCACACTTCTGTCCAGACGCTGCACCACCTCAGAACCAGCCGAGGTTCTTGAGCGAGGAGGACCGGAGCAGCTCGTCCGGACCTGTAGTCCACAGAACATTCTCACTTTCCCCACACGGAACCACTCAGACCCAGTCCACTGTGTGTTGGTCTGACTCACCACCGTCTGGAACCAGAACATGGAGGACAGAACCTCTGGACCATCTGACCAACGTGCTCGGAGGATGACAGAAGACCAGGACCAGACCAAGGACCAGACCCAGGACCAGACCAGACCAGACCCAGGACCAGACCCAGGACCAGACCCAGGACCAGACCAGACCAGACCAGACCAGACCAGACCAGACCAGGACCAAGGACCAGACCAAGGACCAGACCCAGGACCAGACCCAGGACCAGACCCAGGACCAGACCCAGGACCAGACCCCAGCCCCGTCCTGAGGGTCTGAGCTGTGGTGCTTTTCTCTGTTTCCTGAGCTCAGATCTTCTGCTCTGGTCTGATGTGGTGAGTTTGTTTCAGTTTGATGAGTTGAGATGAGGACGACTCTTGGTCTGAAGAGGAAACATCAGTGTTGATGATCTGAGGGAAACAGAACCTCCACAGTTGGACCAGGTTCTGGCTCTGGTTCTGGCTCTGGTTCTGGTGGCTCTGGTTCTGGCTCTGGCTCTGGTTCTGGCTCTGGTTCTGGCTCTGGTTCTGGCTCTCTGGTGGCTCTGGTTCTGGCTCTGGTTCTGGCTCTGGTTCTGGCTCTGGTTCTGGCTCTGGCTCTGGTTCTGGTTCTGGTTCTCTCTGGTTCTGGTTCTGGCTCTGGTTCTGGCTCTGGCTCTGGTGGCTCTTCTGGCTCTGGTTCTGGCTCTGGTTCTGGCTCTGGTTCTGGCTCTGGTTCTGGCTCTTCTGGCTCTGGTTCTGGCTCTGGTGGCTCTGGTTCTGGCTGGTTCTGGCTCTGGTTCTGGCTCTGGTTCTGGCTCTGGTTCTGGCTCTGGTTCTGGCTCTGGTTCTGGTCTGGCTCTGGTTCTGGCTCTGGTTCTGGCTCTGGTTCTGGCTGGTTCTGGCTCTGGTTCTGGTTCTGGCTCTGGTTCTGGTTCTGGTTTGTTTGTGTGAAAGTGAAACTCTGGAGTTTCTGCAGAACAACAAGTTTATCACCAAATAATCAAAAAACACCCAGACACACTGAACCTGATCACACATGTGTGTGTGTGTTGTGTGTGTGTGTTGTATGTGACTCTGTTGTGTGTGTTGTGTGTGTGTTGTGTGTGTGTGTTGTATGTGACTCTGTGTGTGTGTGTGTGTTGTGTGTGTTGTGTGTGTGTTGTATGTGACTCTGTTGTGTGTGTTTGTATGTGACTCTGTTGTGTGTGTTGTGTGTGACTCTGTTGTGTGTGTTGTGTGTGTGTTGTGTGTGTGTTGTGTGTGTTGCATGTGACTCTGTTGTGTGTGTTGTGTGTGACTCTGTTGTGTGTGTGTGTGTGTGTGTGTGTTGTGTGTGTGTTGTATGTGACTCTGTGTGTGTGTGTGTGTGTGTGTGTGTTGTGTGTGACTCTGTGTGTGTGTGTGTGTGTGTGTGTGTGTGTGTTGTGTGACTCTGTTGTGTGTGTTGTGTGTGACTCTGTGTGTGTGTGTTGTGTGTGTGTGTGTGTGACTCTGTGTGTTGTGTGTGTGTGTGTGTGTGTGTTGTGTGTGTTGTGTGTGACTCTGTTGTGTGACTGTTGTGTGTGTTGTGTGTGACTCTGTTGTGTGTGTTGTGTGTGACTCTGTTGTGTGTGTGTGTGTGTGACTCTGTTGTGTGTGTGTGTGTGTGTG